GAGTGCACGTAACACAATTCGACTTAGTTCATGCGATCTGCTTCAGCACCCTGGAGTCACCGTTAGCTACACTTGTGATCTGAATGTACAAACGACCGATATCTGCATATTGTCCAATATTCAGTAGGGGATAAAACTGATAATGCAGAGAGATTCGCTCCTCGTTTAAGGCTATCCGTCAGAAGGCGACATTTACGATGCTTGTCAATAACATCTTATGATCAATGGAAGAGACGAACGACAAAACGAAACGGTATGGCACCGGAAGTCAGTAAATCGCTTTCATCGATAAGAGTTTGTATCTACATCAACTGATCTCCACTGACGAAGGATCAGTCGACCCGAAAAGCATGATCACCCTTCGGCAACGACCACGGTGACCTAACATCATTTATGTTGCAAAGTCAAGGCCGCAATGGTAATCAAAGATCCATTCGAGTCCAAGTGTAATGATTTTCGTTCCAGCTTCCAAGGCACATTGGAGTAGCGCAGGGCAGAACACTCATTAGAGAGGATGGAGCAAACAGATTGCAGTCACCTTCGCCACTCTGAGTCGTTTCAGTAAATTCAGATTTTAGCCTTAAAACAACACCATGTCAAATTTTTGCATTAAGCACGCTTTGATAATGTTATCCACACATGTCACTTTCGCTGCTTATTTAAACTGTGAGCTTTGAAAAGAGTGGCCGTCTCAATTTTCAGATGGAATGAGATGTACCTGGCGCATTGAAGATACAAAATGGTAAGCAACCTCCTTTTCAGCGTTTTGAACGATACGAGTTCCTACTACCTAACTGGTCATCGGCTTGGTTTGGGGAATTAGCTGGGCCATTCCTTTGGTGAGAGGATGCTTTATCATCAACTAAGTTGTTACTTATGGCTTCTGTCAGCGAGGTACATATCATCGTGCTAGGCAAAGAGGACAGAAGACAGACAGGACCCTTATGCAATAAATGTTGTTTCAAGAAAGGATTTTATGAATGCAATTTTATATGAAAAACAAAAATGACTAGATTATTTTTATCTATTAAATGTTAGGTACCTCATACTAATTTAATTGACTATATTTCATTTGAGGGTGTGAAATACAAATTATCGAAATGCTTGTACATGAGTAGAACATACCCAAGCAAGGAAACCTGAGCAAAATTGAAATTTTGAACTGTCATGCCGTAAAATTAAATTCGTCGAATTTGTTCGACTGGTGAACGACTGAACTATTGAAAAAAATCTGCTTAAACTTTGTCTGTCAGTGTGAACAAAGCTTGGGTTCTTAAAATGAACGCAGACATATTGCCTATTCAGTATGCTTCAGGGTATTCATAAAGTCAGAGTTTCATCTTATCCATTAAATGGACACTGGTCAAACTAGAAAGCATGAAACGGCAAAACACATAGCTACACTCTTCCTGTCTTAACGCAACAATAAATGTTATGGTCGCAATGGGCCATCGATGCAGTTGTATTGACGACTGATGAGCTGATCCACGCGTATAATGCTATTTGAGACATGGCTGGTTTGACACAAGTTAAAACAAACATATGGGGCCATAGTTTGCATCTGCCCTCTCATAGACAATTAGCCCGAGGTTATCTTACTCGTGATGAGAATATTACATTGGTTGCAATATTTCGCCGTTTCAGACACTTCATGTTTTGACTTCCATAATCCACCTCTCAGCCCCGCGTTGTTACCCCAAATTAGATCGTCCCAGAATGGTATCTATGAGGAGTAATTTTATGTACAGTGGTATTTCGCTGGTCATCTTAATTCTCTATCATCCAGCGAAGCTGAAATGTAAAAAAGTTTGGAGAAAAACCTGCCGCACTGCTCGGTAGCGTTGATAAATCGTTCCTCCATGTTGATCTGACTCTGTTTGTTTACTCTTTCAGTTTACAGATCTATAATTCAGGTTCCAAAAGACCTACTAGTCAGTAAGACAGCAGTTCAAAGGAATGATCAAGTGCTGTCCAAACATTTGAAATCTACAGACAAGTGGAGACAACGTGCCGTCTAGCCTTGCGGAATATTTAATAAAGAGGAGAACGTCAACTGAGCGGGAATGTTAGTTAGATAATGACGCACTTCCGACCCCGCTAATCGTCAAAGGTGCCGAGGGAAGACATTTATGACTTGAAGTGAACGGCACGACCACAAGAGAAACCGCTGCCGCCAAAGACAGGGAAAAGAGACATCCGGTACAAATCTCTTCGACGCTTGTGCATGTGTACCTGGTGCAGTGCCATAGCAAATATGGCTCTTGTGTAAACGAGAGTCATACCGAGACGAGGACACACGGACTGCACTGCTGCCCTCCGCCACGCCTCTCAACTAGGATGGAGGGAGCGAGATCGCCCATACAGAGAAGTACCTTCGAGCAGACTGTGTGAAGCAACACACATGGACTCAGAACGTTTGTACACTGTTGACAGGCGAGACAGTGCAGATCCTTGGAGCCATCGCCTTGAAACCGAAGGCCTCCATGGGTGGATTCAAGACAGCGATAGTTGACCGGCTTAATAATGAAGTGTCCCGGTTAGAAATTCGCACCGATTTCCACAGACGGTGCAACTAGCAGGCGAGACAGTGACACAGTTTGTGAAAAGGGATGAACGTTGGCGATGCCTGACGACGCTAT